TCCTTGCAGGTTAGATGCATTTCCTAAAGAGAGCAGATACCTGGCTTGTATTTTTTTTATCCACTCGGCCAGCCTATGTCTCTTGAAAGGTGAGTTCAAGCCATTCACATTTATTGAAAGAACTGATATGTGGGGTAAATTGTTCATCAAACTGTTGAGTTGCCTTTTGTTGCTTTGTTTTCTCTCTTGAGCCATTGTGGATTCTAGCCTTTGATCTTTAGCTTTTGAGTGGTTTTACATTCGTGAGTGTTTATTGTGCTGGTCTTTGTGTAATTCAGCTTTGAGTACCTCTTGGAGAGCTGGTCTTGTCTTGGTGAATTCCCACACACTTTGTTTATCTCAGAATGTCTTTATTTCTCCTTCATATATAAAACTTAGTTTTGCAGGGTACAAGATTCTAGGCTGGGCATTACTCTGTTTCAGAAGAGTGAGAATGGGGCCCCAGGCTCTTCTTGCTTGTAGGGTTTCGGTTGAGAAGTCTGAAGTTATTCTGATAGGCTTTCCTTTGTATGTTACTTGTTTCTTTCTCCTGACAGTTCATAGTAGGGCTTCCTTAGTCGATATTTTAGTCAATCTGATGACTGCATGATGTGGTGTCTTTCTATTTGCATTGAATCTCCCTGGAGTCCACTGTGCTTCTTGTACCTGTATATCTAGATTTTTAGCAAGGCCTGGGAAATTCTCCTCTATTAAATCTTCAAATAGGTTATCCAGCCCTTGCGTGGTTTCTTCTTCATTTTCCTGAGCACCAATCACATGCAGGTTTGGTTTTTTCACATAATCCCACATTTCTTGTAAGCTTGTTTCTTTTTTCTTTATTTTCTGCTCAGTCTCTGTGACTGACTTATTATTTGGAAGGAGTGTCTTCAATCTCTGAGATTCTTTCTTCTGTTTGATCTACCCTGTTCTTTAGGCTTTCCACAGTGTTTTGAAGTTCCCTGAATAAGTCCTTTATTTCCAGGAGTTTGGTTTGATTTTTCTTTAATATTTCAATTTCTTTAGTGAATTTTTCTTCCAAATCCTGGATTTTTTTTGTGGTTTCCTTGTGATGGTTATCCATTTCTCCTTGCATATCATTGAGCTTACTTACAATCCATGTTTGGAATTCTTCTTCTGTCATTTTAGTATTCTGGACCCGGTTAATGTTCATTGCTAGAAAGCTGGTGTTCTTCTTTGGGGTTGTGCTTTCCATTTGAATTTTCATACTTCCAGAAATCTTTCGCTGGGTCCTTCCCATCTGGATCCGCTGTTACTTTTGTTTTGTTCCGGCGCTAGAGGGAGCCACTAGTATGTTGTCCAGGGTTCTCTTGATGGGAGGGGTTACTTGGGGAACTTGTTTTGGTCTCTTGCTGGGGTTTTGATTCTCTAGTCGCGGGTTTCTCTGTTGGTAGCTGACCGGAGGCAGAAATGCAATCGTACCGGATGACCTGAACCAGTCTAGAGAGGAAGATCACTGGGCTGTCAGCTATTGGTCAGTGCCAAATCCCCAGGGACTGGTGTTTGTCACAGAGGGGGAGTGGCTCTTTACGTCTCACTGTTGCAAGCTCAGAGGCCGAACAAAAGGCGCTGGCCAGGGGGAGGGGGTGCCTTCCCAACCTACTCAACTCCCCAGCGCCTTCAGCTTCCGCATGCATCTTCCCCTCACAACTAAGGAGGCACTCAGAATTCTCCGCTCAAAGAAACGGGCCCGGCTAATTGACTTTAGGTCCTGGAAGGGCAGAGCTCGTTGCGAGAGTTCCCAGGCTGGGGGAAGGGAGCCGTTCCGCACCGTACTGCGACCTGCTGTGGGCCCCGAGCTGGCGCTCGCCGGCCCCCAGGGTGCTGGCTCCAGAGGGAGCTGGGAGGTACCCGATCAGGGAGTCAGTTGAGTCACCAGGGTGTTCCGCTGTCTCCTTTGTGTCTCCCTCCCCCAATCTCACACCAGTCCAGCAATAGCTTTCGCTTCTACTAGCCCACCCTGAGCAGTCCCATTGGCCAGCGGCAGTTTCCAGGTTAGAGTCCTCTACTCAGTAATCACCTCCCCGTTCAGGACCCACTGGGTGCCAGAGACCAGCTTCTTGACTCCTAACTGCCTCCGGAGGTAGCCCAGCCCAGCTCCTCCCCTGTCCGGTGCAGTCCTGACACGGAGCTCCGGGGAGTTCAAGTTGCTTCCAGCTCGTGTCCCCTCTCCGCTGAGTCCCACGTTTCCAGACCCAGTTCTACATCCACTTCACACAGGTCCCCTGCCTCTCGGTGGGCTTGTAAGTCAGTGGGGAAGCTAGACTGTCTCGTGAGGGACTTGTCCCGGTGCACTTACTGGCCAGGCTGGCGCCGCCGTCTCATGCTCCACTCTCTATTGTCTGTCCACGCTTTCCAGGTTTTGCGTTCCTGTCTCCCATTCATTTTATTCTTTTTCCTGATGTGTGTGTCCCCCGCTGAATCTCCACCGATTCACCTCACTGTTTTTGCAGGAGAGCGATTCGATTGTGTGTGGCAGACCGAGATCTACGTCTCTTTTTCTGGAAGCAGGGATCCAGGAGGCTACCTTAACTCCGCCATTTTTCTCCCCCCATGGACCGATTTCTATTCCAACCTTTAGTCACATGCATTCTTACTAGGGAGCACTAATCTCATCTGGTGTCCAACAAGCATTCAACGACTTTGTTCTTGTGTGCACTCTTCCAGACAATGAGAGGACCCGGAACTGGAGAAGCAGGAGAGGTTACTGGGAAACCAGTGAGGCTTGAGCCTCAGGCCCCTCATTTGCCCCAGATCTTCCAGGGCCCTGAACCTAATTTTATTTTTTGTTACTTTCTTTTTCTTAAAGGGGCCTCCAAATTGTATAAACTCCAGGTCCCACAAAATCTGGGCTTATTCTTGGGGAGGAAACTCGAGTTCCTTCCCTGGAGGAGCCAAGCGCTGAGCACACGGGGCCCACTCCCACTCCGGCACCATCAGTCGCCTGTCATCTCTGAGCCCTGCGACCCCCCACCCTCTGAATCCCATGCTTCTCCAGACCCCGCAGGTTGAGATTCAGCTGGGCTAATGCTGTCGAACAGCCTTATCCAGATGCTGATGTAGGCTTCAGGTAAGGTCTGCTGGTCCGCATGTTAGGAAAAAGACTCTGCTGATTGGGCATCACACCGTTTTCTCTGTCTCTGGCTTCCCTACGTTTCGATGCATGTCCTAGAGAGCTACCAGAATAGTATGTGCCTGGCACGCTGCAGGCATTTAGTCGGTATTTCTTAGATGAATGCAAATCATAGTTACCTCCTTCCTCAGAATCATGACCACCTCTCCAATATCCACAGCATAAAATCCAAACTCCTTGGTGTGGTGGCCTCCAGCAGGTCCCAGTCCAGCCTCCTCCCACCACCTCTCCTTTATCCCCAGCCCCACTCCTGTGGTTCTAAAATACTCCCGGGAACCCCTTTCTTCGTGGCCTCCCATGCTGCAGGCCTACCAGTTGGCTGTCTCCTTTACCCACAGAAACTGTCCCCTGCCCCTGGCGTGCATGCGCAGCATTGCTTCTGGGCAGCTTGATCAGGCCCCTCTCCACCCCCAGTCCTCCCTTCTCCAGGCAGATTTAGGCAGTTCTACTTCTAAGCATCCCTGGTACCTTCTAAGTAAGTAAATTAATACACGAAAGCACTTCTCAAACTTGACTGTCATTGTCTCCTGGCCATACCTCTCGTACTAGAAAATTTTGAAGGGCAGGACCCATATCTTTTCATCTCTGTATCTAGGGCTCCTAGATACTGTGCCTGACTCATAGCAAATAATCAATTTTTTAAAATTAACAAATATAAAGAGGAATTAAAGAAATTAGATAACAAATGACAAGATAGCATCACCAAGGAGACAACTTCTTGAGACGCTGCTATTCAAATTATCATGTACTATAAAGTGCCTTCACACACAATGACTTATACTAGGCTCCATGCAGAGGTTTATAGTGAGGATAACGTTTACCCACAAATAAGGGCACATTATATTCACGCAAAAGGAAGTGCTGTCACTCAAGGTTGAGCAAGGGATCGAATTGAGAAGGTTTTGAAAAGCTTCTCCTTTCAGAGTTAACGACTTGGGACGTATAAATTGGAGCTGCCATCCAACTCCATAGGAGCTGGAGTTGCAAGTCTTGGGTTCTAAGGCCAACACCACCACTTGTATGCGAGACAGAGTGTGCAACAGCTCTGAGCTTCAGTTTCCTTATAAAGAGGGGATAACAATACAGACTTCACAGGGTTGTCCTGAGGATCAAATAAAGTCATTTGCCTGAAGTAATTAATTAGTTCAATGCCGAGTGCCCAGTAAACACCCAGTAAATGGTATTTGTCATTGTTACATTCAGTGCTCTGAAAGTGTAGCACACCTCTGCACCCTCCCCCCAGCTTAATATGACTTCTGATGCTTCTTATTACCAAGCGACACCCAGCCACATGTATTTCCTGTACAAAGATTGCAGGGTTCCTACTGGGTTCTGATGTGGCATGTTCTTGAAGAGGGGGGGATTTCTGGTGTCAGTCCCACATGAGAGCATGTGCGTCCTCTGGGAGGGAACTCAGACCATAGCACGGAATGTTTCCGGGGCAGATTTCTTGTATCCTCTTGGCTTCCACTTTGATGTCTGGGGCTTTTAGGAGTCTCAAATCTCTGGGAGCACTCCTGGGTGCTCCAGGGAAATGGGAGGTGGCTGTTCTTTATATCTTCGTTTGCCTGATATCCCTGAGCTATGATTATATGTTCCAATCTCAGATTTGCAACAATTTGCAGTCTTGACTATCTGCTTTGGGGCCCAGGCATTCAAGGGTGAGCAGGCTCCCCTGAGGCCAGTGAGGAGATGGTGGCAGCAGTTAGTGAACAACTCCACAAGGTTAAGGTGACTCTTAGAAAAGGAGGGTTTCCCCACTGCTAACCCTGGAGGAGCTGAGTTGGTACTAGCTAGAGGAAAGAGCAGTTCCTTCAGCACCTTGAACAGCACATCTGAGCATGATACACAAAAGCAGTGGGACACTTACCTCCTCAAAAGCATCACAGCCTGTCACCACGATATTTGGCCTGAAATATTCCATTTTCACTTTCTTCTCCATTCTGGTATTCAAATCTGCCAGCGAGGCTTCCGAGAGGATCAGGATTGGGCTGCAGTCTGGGTAGGCCACCTGTACCAAGAACACAGAACAATCAGGCCTCACCACCTCATGAAATTGCTTAGACCAACTGCAAAGCTGAGCAAAGTCCAGAAGCAAAACCACCTAAGTGCAGAAGAGGAGTGGTGTTTGGGAGGCAGAGGTGACTTCGGGCTTAGAAATGGCCAGGTCAGTGCCAGAGCACAGTTTCTAGTCACACAGAGGGACAAGGCCAGTGTCAACTGCCCCAGACCTCCTCCTCCATGCTCCTCACTCCTGCCTCACCAGTGACCCTTCCCACAACACCCTCCAGCAGGCAAGGGTCTGCTGCCATCAGCCGTACTCCAGGAATAACTTCTTCAACACCACCCTTTCACCCCATAAGCATTTGCTGAGCCCCTCTTAGGCACCAGGCCCTGATCTAGGTGGGGAAACAGCAGTGGACAAAGCAGATAAAAAACCCTATCCTCAAGGAGCTGGTGGTTCAGGGGCTGTGTGGAGAAACTCCCTGAGCTATTTGCATTTTAGCTCTTACTTAGCTCACAGCAGAACCAAGGGTTTTGGCCTTTGGGCCGTGGCTGGCGCAGAGGACAGTTTTCCTCAGGAGGAGGTGCCTTCCCAGCACCTGAAATAACCGTACCCCACGACTGTGAAGGGAAGGCCTGGAAAAGGCTGCACCTCTCATTTCAGGAAACTTGGGTTTAGTCCCAAACAAACTTCTCACTTTCACTTCTCCAACCGGTTTTCTCCTGAGTCTCCACCCACCGGGAGTCACCCAGCTCCTCCACAATAGCTCCCATATTCAATCCTTCGTGTGCCCTAGAGATCCCGCTTTCGAGACATCTCATTGTCCTCTCCATCTCCAGCACCTCTGCCCAGCTCGTGCCCTCGTCACCACTCACCTGGGCCATTACCATATTTTCCTAACTGAGGTCCCAAGAGAGGCTCTTTGCAGGCTGGGCAGGAAGCCAGACAGAGAAGGGTAACTGGTAGGAGTGAAAGCAAACTCTCTGTAAGCTCACCTGATAACTCTGTACAGCAGTGGGGATAAGTTTTCTTGATGTTCTTCCCTTCATGCTCGTTTCAAACTGAACCAACCTGAAGGCTTCTGTTTTCAAGAAGTTGGTGAACCACTGAGCTGCCTCATCACCACAGTCTCTGCCTTTAATGTCAAGACCAAATACCCTGGAAAGGTCACATGGGAACACCAGGTTACTTACTTATATCAACACACTGAGGGATGCTGTCAAAAATGGACAGTGGGACTGTTGGGACCTGACTATCCCAGAAGGCCATGGGTGGTCCTTGGGTTAAAGCTGGGCAGAAGCAGAGGAGGAAGAAAGTACAATGTGCTCTAGGGAAGAGCTTCCCTGACCCTAACATGAGTGAAGATCATCCAGGATCTTGTTCAAATGCAGATTCTGGTTGAGCAGGTCTGAGTTGGAGTCTGAGATTCTGAATTCCCAACAAGCCTCTGGATCATGCCTAGGCTGCTGGTCCACGGACCACACTTTGAGTAGTAAGGATTTAGTATGTTTTCAGAAGAGGAGAGGGGTTGCCCTGTGGCGGACGCACCCTGAGCTTGGGACCCAACAGATCTGGTTCAAATTGGAATTCTGTCATTTTCTAGTTTTATGACCTTAAGCAAATCACTTAACCCCTCTGACCTTCTGTTTCCAGTTGTAAACTGGAGATAATAATTTAGCACGTACCTACCCTACCATGTGGGAACAGATAGCTTTAGATAATACAGCGGCCTTCAAGGAGTTTTGCTTGAATTAACCTAAAGGTGTTTTAAAAAGCTACTTACCCTTTACAGAATTCTAAGTTGATAGTAAACTTTTTCATCATAAGTTTACTTTGTTTTGAAAGATATAATTTCCATTAAATTTACACATTGACATTTATGCACATGATTACATTATGCTTTTAAAAGTATGGAGTGGGATCTATATGCCATGTCAGTTTGATATCTACCACTATGCATTTTTAAAATGCATAAGATCTTCTTTAATGGTCCAAATTTTTACATTATTCCTCTTTTTATTCTTGAATGCATATTTACATTCTACTTTTATTTTATAATTTTATTCTAATATATTTTTATGGTAACTGATCACTTGTATTTACTGTGAACCAATCCAGTTTTCTTTGTTTCTTAAGGTTCTAAGTGTGAAGCAATTTTTTCAGGATCAAGTTATCATTCCATTTTATATCATCATTTTTATTTGTGTACAATTGATCACAACAAAATAGGTATGTGTATTATAAATTTTGATAACTATGTAAGCAAAAAAGTAAAATTTTATTTGAAATTAATTTCTTAAAGAACCCTGTAGAGTATCCATAAATATGTGAGTGAATCTTACTTGTTAGAATAAGACAAGGTTCAGCATCACTTTTATTCCTTTCTTTTAAATAAGGATGAATTTCACTCATTCTTTGAACCCTTCTGCAATGTCTTCCACACAGTGATTTGTTATCAAAAAGTATTTTTAATGATTTATCAGAAGCAATTTAGGGCTCCTTCATTTTAGCATAAGGCAAGGAGCTGGAATCACTGACCCATAGAATGATTTTGCCCCGTCATTAGAGTCATTCTCTTTATCAACAGCAGTATTTTTCATTGTTTGGGGCCCAGTGGGTTTCTCCGTTCCAGGGAAATACCACCAGTAACATGCAGGGTGGACAGAGATAAGCCTTTCATCTGTACAAAGGGGAGGGGCAGGAACACTTGCTGACTGTAGGTGCGATTCAGATCACTGTTCAGAAAGAAAAACCTGTGGGATTTGAGACTCTGGAAATTGATTCCCTTAAAATGTCCCCTATCCTCATATGCTTTGGGAAGTGTCTGCACCTCCCCCATGAAAGCAGATGCTAGTGTGAAGACTCCACAGTGATTTGAGTGAAGGAATCCAATGTGGACACACGAGGGGATCACAATGTACTCTGAAGCCCATACCCCTCTGGAATAGTGCTTGTATGTAAGTGCACATATTCTACCCCGCAGCATCCACCCCTCCAGGTAAGCTTCATGTCGGCACCGTGACAAGTAGAAAGCATCCCACAGGGCAAAGGAGTACCGGCTAGCCAGTGCCCTCCTGCTCCCGAAAGTCGCCCCTTCCCTAGGCCTGTCTCCCACCCCAGCAGTGGACTGCATCTACTCCTCTGCCATTCTGCCTTCTTCAATTCCTTCAGAATTTTCTGAAAAATGCACTTTCTTCCACATGTCGAGACAAAATATTCCATTGAGCAACACCCCGTAGAAAAAAACTGACCTTCACTCTGTTGGTCCAATAATACGTCATTAGTAAGAAATCTACTAAATCACAAAGCAAAAAATAAACTACCAAAAATTACTTACAAGTGCATAAAAACTTGAACAGACTTTTACAAAGAAAATCCAGACATTTTTACTGGCGAATTCTACCAATAATTAAAGAACAAATAATACCAATTTCACACAGAGAACAAAAAAAGTGTTTTTAAAAATTGTCATGTTAAAATAGGAAGAAAAAGGTAAGTTATCAAGTACTAAATCTAACAAAATATGTAAAATTCAAGGAGGTAAAATTATAAAACTTTAATGTAAAGAGATAATATAAGACATAAATAAATGAGAAAAAATAATATTCATGGACAGGGTGACTCAATACAATAAAGATGATGATAGCTATTTAAGAGCTATTAATAATATCTAGTTAACTGACTACTGTATATCAGGTACTCTTCCAAATGCTTTATTTAACATACACACCCACACCGCCCCCACACACAGATATACACTCATGTCAATTTTCTCTAAATTGAGCCACAAATTCAATGCAATTACAATTAAAATCCCAAGAGGGTCTTATATGGAACTTGACAAGCAGATTCCAAAATTTATGGAAGAGCAAAGTCTCAAAAATAGTTAAGACATTTTTAAAGAAGCATAACATGACAGGGAGACTTTCCTACTAGACATCAAGATATATAGTTAGAGTAATTAAGGCAGCATAATATAGGAGCAGGAATTCATAAATAGGACAATGCAACTAAAATGGGAGCTCACAAGGTGCTGGAGCAATTGCTAATCCACACATAGATTATATTGAATTGCTACCTCAAACCATGTACGAAAACAAACTCCAGGAGCAACAAAGACTTAGATATAAAAGGCAAAACTTCAACAGTTTTACAAAAAGAAAGTAGGAAAATATTTTTATGACTTTGGGGTGGAGTATATTTCTTAAGACACCAAAAGGTGCTAATCAAAAAAAGAAACTAATTTGATTACAATAAAATTAAGAATGTCTATTTTCCAGAAGATACCATAAAAAAGATAAAAGATAAGTTACAAAATGGGATAAGATATTTGCATCATAGATAATTGACCAAATATTTGTATATAGCAATGGTACAGAATAACTACTTGTCAATAAAGGAAAACTTGGACACAAAATATAAAAAACATTTCATAGACAAGGAAACATAAAGAAAAAATACTCATAAAGAAAAAATATTCGGCCTCATTAGAAATCCTACAAATGTAAATTAAAACCACAAAGGGAAACCATTTGACTCATTTAACAGATATTTACAGAATTTAAAATGTGCTAATGGAGCCAGGCACGGTGGCTCACGCCTGTAATCCTAGCTCTCTGGGAGGCCGAGGCGGGCAGATTGTTTGAGCTCAGGAGTTCGAGACCAGCCTGAGCA